GATTTCGCAAGAGCAGCCTCGGTTTCAGCGATCTTCTCTTCCAATGGCTGCACATAGCGGGCTGTGTCTGGAACGACGTGCCGACGAGTGTCTTCTGCTTTTGCGAGCTTTTCCTTCAACAAATCCATTTGAGCGTTGAGTGCTGGAATTTGTTGTTCTTCGATGAGCCAGGCTTTGCGGGTCGTTGATTTGTGGAATGTCGGCAAGCAATCTCGAGAGCTCGTTATTGAGTTGTTTTGCCGAATCATCGCAAACGGCTTCATCCTCGATCTCAGCATGAAGCTCGGTTAGCAAATCATCGTAGTGTGCTGCTGTTTGATCGACGTCAGCATCGAGGAAACGCACATCTGCGTAGGCACTCTCCAACGGATCGAGCAGTTCGGAAAGTCTTTGCATCTCACGGACAGCATCCTTCAGACGTTCGAGGTTCTCTTCTTTGGCACGCTTGGCATCCTCCAAGTCACCACGAGCCTCATCAAGGGAGCAAGGTGGTTTTGCAGTGAGAGCATCAAGTGGTCGTCGAACTTCCTCGAGAAGCTGATCGGCGGCATCTCGTGCTGCCACAAACTCGTTCCAGTAGGTGTTGCGGTCGTCGAGCACTGGCAGAAGAGCCTGTGCGGCATCGACTGTGCTTGAAAGCGAGTGTGCGTGTTCGTCGGCAGCTGTTGGAGCGGTGGCAAGGATGTTTCGTGCAACCGAGATTTCTTCTCTCATCTCAGCGGCCGTCGAGTCGAATTTGGTTGGAATTGCTTCAGCGTCGCACAACAAACGATTCGCCTCATCAACGAGTTCAGCGAGTCTAGTTCCGGCTCCGTCGGCTCTTCTGTGCAGATCTTCAAGAGCATCAGCACGGTCTTCCAATGAGGATCGAGTGTTGTTCAAAGCTTCGTTTGCTTTCTCAAGTCGATCAAGAGTGGTGGCAGCAAGTTGAGCACCCTCCGGTGACTTCTCTTGATCTTGATCGATTTTCTTGATCTTTTCGTAGTCGTCGTTGAGCGCATCGAAGCAGCGCCTTTCCCACCCCTGCCCGTCATCTGGCAGCTTTGCGCAACTCGTCGCGGCGAATGGTGGCATCTGGTCGACCCTGAGCTTCGTGTCTTTTGCGAGAAGCAACTCTATCGAGATCTTGTGAACGGCTTATCGTTAGCAGAGCCCCTGGCTCGAAGCCGGCTTCTACATTCTTCTCACGCTTCGTTCCACCAAGTTGTCGACGTTGCGGAAGTCGCTTGCACAAGAAGCTTCTGAAAGGTTCATTTCCTCTGATTTGTCCGGTGATCGTGACGGTTTCGCGTTGATTTTGCTTTCAAGATCATCAACTCGCGCGCGCACGCGGCTGCGCAGGTGTTTGTTGATTGCGTTGACCCCCCTTGCCCAACCACCTCTCCCAGCGTGGATGTTGGCGTGCTGGGCACTCCTCACGTTCTCACGATTTCTGCCCCAATGGGAAAAGGTCGTTGAAACGGCGCCTCGTTGGTCTCCCAGCTTGCACCTCGTTTGCCAACTCATTGATGAATTGATTCAGTTGTCGATCTTCTGGGAGGTTGATGTCGTCGTTTTGTTTATCAGTTCTACTCCGCGAAGATGTTGGATTGATAGATGCAATACAGGCTTTGATAACCGGCAAGGAAGTTGATTGGCCAGAAAACGGCAACACGAGCTCCTCATCATCAGCTTTTCCAAGATCTTCTTTGCCGACGGCAAATGGTTGTGAAGCAGAGTGATCCCTGTCGCCGGCTGTGGTGAAGTGCTTCGAGACGGGTTCGGTTGCCCCCCCAACAGTTATTTGATGCTCGACCATATTTGACTGGGTCCAGCGGGTTGTCGAAGTGCATCTCGGCGCCGCCGAGTTTGCATCCAGGCGTGCTTTCTGTGTTTGCTCGGCCTTTTCGCGTTCTTTCACTTGTTTACTCGGTGTGTGGAAGAAATCGCGAGCGCAAACTTGCAAACTCGTCGATTTCCCCCCGTTCTCTTTTGAAGCCCCCCAGTATTTGGAGCTTCCGGTGGCATCTTCTTACGTGCTCTTCGGCACATCCCCCGATAAATCTTATTGGGATTTCTTGTTGTTGAGCTTTTGTGCAAGAGCGGTGACTTCTCGGGCCGACCCAGTTCTCAAGCAATTTGCTCCAACACGAGCGGCTTTCTCATCGGCGGCGGCAATCTTCGCGTCAAGTTGTTTCTGTCCATAGATCGAGCAGTGATTCCCCCGGACAGTCAGAATTATTGGGCATTCTCTTTTTCTCGGGTTTCAAAGCCTCAACCTTTGCGGCCACTCGTTGAGGTTGAGCCCGCCAGGCACAGGCTGCGATGTCGAGCAACCGCGCGCAGGTACCGGTTGGGTCGGTTGTCGGTTTCGGCAACAGGTGGCTTTGTTCTCGCTTTGCCTCCTAGCCCGCCCTTCCTTGCTCTTGGGGCAGCTACAGGTCTTGGGATGAGTGTGAGCATCTGGCCTGCGTCAACGTCGATGATGAGTCGAGCGAGCGAATCGCTTGGCTCCGGCCCTATAATCATCGTGTTTGCTCCTTTCGACCTTCAATTCGGCGTCTTCTCGGCTGTTGTTGCGCGAGGCTCTTCTGGTCTCCGAGGATTGGTGAGTTGTTTCTCGAGAAGCATTCAGCTCATCAACCACGACACGGCCTTCAGTGAAGAGTTGCTCGGCTTGTTCGAGTTGCCATTGAGTCCTTTTGAGCGTTCTTTGTCCGCAACCCCCCGCTTGCTTGGATTTCGCAGAAGCTGCTCTCGGTGTCTCAGCGATCTTCTCTTCCAATATTTGCACATATAGCAGGCGCATGCTGGAAACGCGGTACTTAGACGAGAGTGTCTTCTGCTTTTTCTTGCTTTTCCTTCCAAGCAAATCCATTTGAGCGTTGAGTGCCGGAATTTGTTGTTGCCCTGCGTTCGAGCCGAACTTTTGCGGGTCGTTGATTGTGGAATGTCGACGGCTTAATCTCTGAGAGCTCGTTATTCAAGATTGTTTTGCCGAACATCCCGAGGCTTCAGGGGTATCCCGGGTTGAAGCTCTAGGGTGCTTTTGAAATCATGTGTAGTGGCCTGCTTTTTACTGTTTTCAGATCAACGGCAGTGAGCATTAGAGGCTTTCATCTCTTTAGCTCTTTCCAGCGCGGGTGAGGCGAGTTCGAGAAAATTATCTTTTGTGCTCTACGGACATCTTGTTTCAAACAGTTTCTGGTTCTCTTCTTTGGCACGCTTACAACTTTACATCCTCTTTTTTACTTTGAGCATCTCCTAGGGTATAAGGTGGTTTTTGCGGTTCCGAGCATCGAAGTGATTAGTCGAACTCCCTCGAGAAGCTGATCGACACGGCATCTCGTGTTGGAACACTTTCGCTTCATTCAGTAGTTGTTGCGGTCGTCGAGCACTGGCAGAAGAGCCTGTCACATCGACTGATAACCCCTGGCACCGAAGTAATGCGTGTTCGTCCGGCAGCTGTTGGGCGGTGGCCCGGATGTTTCGTTTTTATTCTCTCATCTTCCCGGCTGTCAGGTCGGTGGTTTGGCCAGCTTCCCCGTCGCACAACAAGCAGGAGGTGCCTTATCAACGAGTTCTAGCAAATCCCCAGTTCCGGCTCAGTCTGGCTCTTCTACGAAGATCCTTCAGGCATCGGCACGGTCTTCAGCCGACGATCGGTGTTGTTGTTCAAAGCTTCGTTTGCTTTTCTCAGTCGTAGTCCGAAGTGGCGTTGTTTTTATGCTGGGATTGAGCACCCTCCCGGTGACTCTCTTGATCTTGATCTATTTTCTTGATCTTTTCGTAGTCGTTGACGCATCAAGCCGCCTTTCGCTACCCCTCCAAATCATCGGCGGCTTTGCGTAGCGAAATAGATCGTGGTGGCATCTGGAGAGGGGGACTAGGTATTGCTTTTTACGCTTCATCGAGATCTTGTGAACGAGCAGCCACATCGTTCAGCAGAGCCTACAACTCCCCCCTGGCCGGCACTTGGCGCTATATATTTCGTTCAGCTTTTTGGGTGTCGACGTTGCCGAGTCTGGCTCCGCAGAACTTCTGGGTTCACCTCCCCCTCTGGTTGTCCGGTGATCGTAATGACAGTTTCTACGCGTTGATTTTGCTTTCAAGATCATCAACTCGACGACGCGAGCATTGGCACGATCCCCCCCTTTGCGTTGAGAGCGCGAGGGGTGTTCGGCCACTCTCCAGGTGATGTTGAGGGCGTGCTTCAGCCGCTGTTTGCTCGATTTTCGGCGGCACCACCGGGAAAAGGTGGTTGTAGGCGGCGTTATTTTACGATTCGCCGTCCGCACCTCGTTTGCCAACTCGCGTGATGGTGAATTCGAGTTGTCGGTCTTCCAGTTGATGTCATCGGTTGTGCATCGAGTCTGCCTACGCAGATGGTAGATTGTCGTGCCCCAGGCTTTTGTCTCTGCAAGTTGATTGAAGCCCCGCTGCTTAACACAACTCTCCCATCATCGGCTTTTCCAAGATGTCTTTGCTATGACAGCAAATGATTTGCATTGAACTTGAGGTGGAATACTTGTCGAAGGCCCATGGTCAGTGCTTCAGGAACAGCAGAGTTCGGTTTACCTTTATCAGGACTTCTTTGTCTCGGCTTTCCATATTTGTTTATTGGAGTGGCGGTTCCCCCCGAAGTGCATCTCGGAGACGACGAAGTTTATCCAGATAGCTTTCCGTGTTTGCTCGCGCATTTTCGGAGTTCGCTTTTGCTATTATGAAGAATTGTGAGTGTCTGCTTTTTGCCAGGCTGGCGGCTCAGCTCGTCGGGAATTTCTACTTCCGCGTTTCTCTTGAGCCCCACAATGTCGACTTCAGGTGGCGTCTTCTTTGACATCATATTCAGCTCATCCTGATCGTCTTGTGGGATTTCTTGTTGGTAGACTTGTGCAAGGCATTGTCTCTCGGAGACTATTTTGATCTCAAGCTTTGGGTACGCAGCTCAACACGAGAGCAGCTTCTTCATCAAAGCGGCAGTCTTCCCGTCAAAGTTGTTTCTGTGCCTGCCTCGTCAAGCAGTGATTGAAACTCAGACAGTTTTTTTTTTTTGCCTTCTCTTTCTCAGCGTTCCAAACCCTCAACCTTTGCGGCTTGCTCGTTGAGTTGGCGCAAGCTCGCGGAAGCTTTTACTTGTCCCATCAAAGTTGAAGCAACCCTTTGTTTCAGTTCGTCGGTTGTCGGTTCGGCAACGATTGGCTATTGTTTATCCTTTGCTCACTTTCTTGCCCTTCCTTCTCTTGGGGGCGGCTGCAGTCGCTGGGATGAGGGTGAGCATCGGCCTCGTCAGCACGTCGTGACATGAGTCGAGCGAGCGAATTTTATTTTTTTATCCGTCCATCACGTGTTCTCCTTTCTGAGCCTTCAATTCGACGTCTTCTCGAGTGTTGTTGCATTGAGGCTCTTCTGGTTGTCCGAGTTGAAGTTGTTTCTCGAGAAGCATTTAACTCATCAGCCGACACACATTTTCGAATTGGCGGTTGCTCGGCGTTCCAGTTTTACATTGAGCTGCAGCAGGACGAGGCAGTTCTTTATTCGGCATCTTTGGCAGCTTTGCTTAGCGTTTCGCAAGAAACGGCCTCGGTTTCGGCGCGATCTTCTCTTCCTATGGCTGCACATGGCAGGCTGTGTGGAGAACGACTAATGCCGACGAAGTGTCTTCTGCAACTGCGAGCTTTTTCCTTCAACAAATCCATTTTGAGCGTTGAGTACTGGAAGATTTGGGCATTTGTTCTTCGATGAGCCGAGCTTTTTGCGGGTCGTTGATTTTTTTGTGCGCCAGCAATCTCGAGGAAGCTCGTTGACCGGGATTGTTTTGCCGATCAAAGCACCCCCCTCACCCGAACGGGAACGTAGAAGCTCGGTTGTCAATAAATGATTGCGCGACTGTTTGATCGACGTCTAGCATCCGAGGAAGCGCGCATCTGCGCTAGGAACTCTCCAGCAGATCGCGCAGTTCAGAGAAAGAAATCTTCCATCTCACGGACAGCATCCTTCAGACGATTCAGGGTTCTCTTCTTTGGCACGCTTGGCATCCCCTCTGATCACCTCTGAGGCCTCATCCAGGGAGCAAAGTGGTTTTGCAGGTGAGAGCATCAAGTGATCGTCGAGGAACTTCCTCCCAGCTGGTCGACTCGTGCTGCCACAAAGCTGCGTTCCCCCAGTATGTTCGGTCGCGTCGCGCTTACTGGCGAAGAGCACGTGCGCTCTCGACTGTGCCCGAAGCGAAGTGTGCGTGTTCGTCGGCAATGATGATGGGCCGTGGCTTGGGAATGTTTCGTGCAGCCGAGATTTCTTCTTTCTGCATCAGCGGCCCGTCGAGTCGAATTTGGTTAAGGCCTTTGGCGTCGCGCAACCCCCCGATTCGCCTCATCAACAAGTTCAGCAAGTCTAGTTCCGGCCGCGTCGTAACGCTGCTTATTCACGAATCTTCAAGAGCATCAGCACGGTCTTCCAATGAGGATCGGTGTTCCCCAAGCTTCGTTTTGCTTTTCTCAAGTCGATCAGGAGTGAACTGGCAGCAAGTTGAGCACCACTCCGGTGACTGCGCCCGGTCTTCAGATCGATTTTCTTGATCTTTTTCATAGTCGTGATTGGCGCATCAAGCAACGCCTTTCCACCCTGTACAGTCATCGGCGGCTTTGCGTAACTCGTCCGATGAAGCTGGCATCTGGTCGACCCTGAACTTCGTGTGCTTTTGCGAGCGGCTTCATCGAGGATCTTGTGAACGCGACGGCCCCATCGTTGGCAAAAACCTGGCTCAGCCCGGCTTGCACATTCTTCTCCTATCTTCGTTCAACTAGTTGTCGTTTTGCGGCGTCAGCTGCGCAGGCTTCTGGGTTCTCCACTCTGATTTGTCCAGTGGTCGTGACGATTTCGCGTTGTTTTTGCACTTTTCCAAGATCATCCCAACTCGCCCCCCCCCCCTGCAAGTTGTTCTTTGATTGCGTTGAGCACGGGTCAGCCTCTCCGGAGTGACGAGAGAGGCATGCCCTAACCACTTCTGTTCTCGATTTCAGCAATGCCAATGGGAAAAGGTCGTTGTGAGCGGCGTTATTTGGTCGCCAGCTTTACCTCGTTTGCCAACTTCATTGATGAGTGAGAATTCAAGTTAATCGGTCTTTCCAGTTGATGTATCGTTCGATTTGTTTATCGAGATCACCTTCCCAAGATGGTAGATTGATAGTGCCCCAGCCGAAGCACTATCTCAGCTCAAGTTGATTGACCAAAGCGGCAACACGACTCTCACATCATCGGCTTTTCAAGATCTTCTTTGCCGACGGCAAATGGTTGTGGAGCTTGAGTGGAATACTTGTCGAAGACTGTGGTCAGTGCTTCAGAGACAGGTTCGGTTGCAGCATCAAGAGCTTCTTTGTCTCGACCATATTTGGCTAGATTGGCGAGTTTGTCGAGAAGTGCATCTCGGAGACGACGAAGTTTATCCAGATAGCTTTCTGTGTTTGCTCGAGCATTTTCGAGTTCTTTCTGTTGCTCGGGTGTGAGATCTCCTTGAGCAAGCAGCTCGTCGATTTCACCGAGTTTCTCTTGAAGCTTTCCAATGTCGACTTCAGTGGCATCTTCTTGTCTCTTCAGCTCATCCTGATCGTCTTGTGGGATTTCTTGTTGTGGAGCTTGTGCAAGAGCGGTGACACTCTCAGGCACGACTTTGATCTCAAGCAATTTTGCTTCAACACGAGCAGCTTTCTCATCAGCGGCAATCTTCGCGTCAAGGTTGTTTCTGTGCCTCGTCAAGCAGTGATTGAGCTCGGACAGTCAAATTGTGGGCATTCTCTTTCTCGGGTTCCAAACCCTCAACCTTTGCGGCTTGCTCGTTGAGTTGAGCGAGAGCTGGAAGCACTTGTCCATCGAGTTGAGCAACCACTTGTTTCAGTTCGTCGGTTGTCGGTTCGGCAACAGTTGGCTGTTGTTCTCCTTTGCCTCCTTTCTTGCCCTTCTTGCTCTTGGGAGCGGCTGGAGTCTTGGGATGAGTGTGAGCATCGGCCTCGTCAGCGTCGTGTGTGAGTCGAGCGAGCGAATCGCTGCAACTTGGCCACATCGTCATCGTGTTTCTCCTTTCGAGCCTTCAATTCGGCGATCTTCTCGAGCTGTTGTTGCACTTGAGGCTCTTCTGGTTGTCCGAGGATTGAAGTTGTTTCTCGAGAGCATTCAACTCATCAACCGACACATTTTCGAGTGGCAGTTGCTCGGCTTGTTCGAGTTGCACATTGAGCAGCAGGACGAGGCGTTCTTTGTCGGCATCTTTAGCAGCTT